ATTGAACCAAGGAAATGAAATAATGTGCCATTTGATTTTATTAAGATGGCTCTATTTTCAAATTAATATTTGAAACTTGAAAGATTAATGAATATACCTTTTGCAATTCCTTCCAAATAGAATCCTCTACTATAACTCTAGCTTAATCATTATTCTAATCAAAACTAGAAAGTTTATTAAGAAACTTGATATCTTTATAATCCTTCTTTACATATACTCATTTAGATTCTATAATATAAGGCTTGTTAATCTTCATAAAATCAATATAGAAGTTAGTAATAAAAAACCAAATAATAGATTTAAATCTATTTTCAGATATCTATTCTGTTTTTTTGATTTTATCTAATTATATAATTAATAAATTAATCTTTTCTTCAGATTATTTAATATTAAATATATAAGGTTTTTTGATAAAATCAAATATTGAAGGAATTCTAGATATAATTATAATAGAGATATAAGATTATTGATATTATATAAAACAGCAATTTTTATTATAATAAATAAAACGAGGTTATTTTGGGGTCTACACTTTTTAAATTGAGTTGATTACTTAATAAATTCATTTTTTTCATAATAGAATACGAAAATTTTATGTGTATTCATCTAAATTCTATACAAGGCACGAGCCAAATGGGCCCTAAAGTACTGTAGCACTATGGTTTATACATATCGTAAATGAACGAAACAACATCTTGGGAATTTAATGAAGATATAAAGACAGCGTCGAGGTCGAGATAAGGAGGTTCTTGCCGCCAATCGCCAACCGCCAATCGGAAGCCTCATATTGACAGTGCTTCTAAGCCGAGGCTAGCTTCCCCAGAAATCCATTGACCTCATCAATGCATCATAATCATCAACCAACTCAATTGAGCTTTCACGAGAGCTCCATCAACAATTCATTTTTTCTTTCTCCATTTTCACCAATCCCACCACCACAAAAAGCTTCAGAATTTGACATACTTTAAGATGGGAGCTGGACCATCCAAAACTTTAGCTAAAGCTTCCAAAGCAGCATCTTTATCCGCCTCAAATACTGCACGCAAATACCCAACTCGAAGTCCACCTCCTTCATCTCCTCGCACAAATGTAGAACCAAATCGACCAAGTCCCACAGCAAAATTAGGACCAACTGTTCATCCTGAAACAAGTACCTCATCCATAAGAGATCAATGTTCGTTATCTTCCAATGGGTTTTTCCTTTGGGTCCATTCATTACCTTGACGAGCTGCCGGGCTTGGGATTTGTTCACCCATAATCTAATGGAAGTACACTAACGCATCATCTCACATAGCAATAAACCTTGACGCCTCGGATCCAGATATTGGTCTCAACTCTCGTCTTCGGGAACTCGGTCCCGTTCAACCATCACCGACCCAATCCAATTCCTCCACATTCAATCAAACCTCAGCTCAAGATGCTTCTACACCCGGTGCCAACTTCATCCCTTCCGCTTCTGCACCTTTGCAATCGATATATCCAACTGCGACTAATCCTGCGATTTCACTCCTCGCTGCGAGATATAGAATAGCAGAAGAGGCAGAGAAAGATTTCGAGACAATTGGTAGAAAGGGCTCTGAGGGAAGGAAATATTTGGATGTCGCAACAATTCGAACGGTGTTGGTCTACAGAGCAGAGGGTATGCCTGATGCAGAAATTGAGAGAAGATTGGAAATAAAGAGTGGAATGGTAAAGAGTTTGGGGGGTAGGGTTGTTAGTGTGACAGGATTATAATGTAAGAGAATGGAGAGGGGGATTAGATCCTTAGATCCTACTTGGAAAGCATGTCTTCGATGGCGATTTGATTCACATCATACGCGTCACCAACGGCTTCCCGGGATTCTATTCTATGGTTTAAGCAACATGGAAGTTCTTGGCCTTTAACAAAATGTACAAATATACGAGTTTATGATTGGATTGGTGGAAAGGTCTGGGCAGCATTTTAACTGGCGAACGGGATGATGTGGGACAAAAGTTATGTATAACATATCGCCAAGTAACTTGAATAGTATCGACTATTTGCGATGGGCGAACTGTCAGAATTAAGAAGGCACTGTCACTTCAAGGATCGAAGGCGTATACTCGTACTTCAGCGAAGAAGCTATCGCTATTTACGCTCTCTATACTCTTGTCTCGGCGAGTTACACTGAGAATAGTGGCGTTGTATATATAAGATTCTCATATTTTCTTCATCACACAAGGTGGTGAAATATATGTGTATAAATAGGTAGTATTAATAGAAACCACCAAGAATTCGTTACTAGGTTCCATTTCACATGCAGATTGCGGGGCATAATTTTTGAAGCTATTCTGCCGGGCGGTGTGAGACCTTGAGAAAGCACCTAGATTGTTGATAAAATATACTTTATATATATATATCAATTTATTAGAACTAGAGCTTTTCAATAATATAGATCTTGAAACTGTAAGAGTAGTAATTATTGAATAATTAATAACTAATAATTAAATTGAAGATTTGAAGAGTTAAAAAAAGTATAAAATCCGCTTAAACAAGATTTGATACTAATATATAAATAATATAAACAATCACTTCAATTACTTCAATCACTTCAATCTTTCAACTTCAATCTTTCAATTTCAACCCTAATATTCAACCTCTATTCAATATAGAATCTTTAATCAAAGTATTCTCTTCAACTAAATCCTTTTCAATTAAACCCTCTTTGACTAAATCTCTTTCAAT